CCAGCTGGCTTCTTTGTTGAATTATTTCAGATATTAAAGAAATAAACAACAGCAACACTACCCAAAGTCTTGGAGAAGGTAGAGGAGGGAACACTTCCAAACTTACTGTGTGAGGCTTGTAGTGCCCTGATACAAAACCAGATAAAGACATTGCGAGAAATGAAAACTACAGACCATTGTCCATGACAATAGATAGAAAAATCCTTAACAAAATACTAGCAAATCCAACCCATCAGTATATAAAAAACAATATAACATCATGGCCAAGTAGCATTTATCCCAGGAATGCAAGATTTGTTTAACATCTGAAAATCAATATGGTGAGTAATTTACCATATTAGTAGAACAAAAGTAAATACCAAATGATTATTTTAATAATACATTTGATAATGCACATGACAATAGAAAATAAGGATTTACCGTGACGACTCAGCAAACTAGAAGCAGAAGGTAACTTCCAAAACCTAAGGAAAGGCATCTCTGAAAAACTGCCACTAACATCACAGTAAATGGTGAACTGCTGAATGCTTTCCCTCTAAGATAGGAACAAGGCAAGGGTATATGCTTTTACCACTTTTATTCAATATTCTGCTGTAGGTTCTAGCTATTGGAATAAGGGAAGAACAACAAAGAAGAGTCCTATGGATTGGAAAGGAAGAAGTAAAACTGTCTTTATTTGCAGAGAACATAATTGTGTAGGTAGAAAATTGTAAGAAATCTACAAAAATGTACTAGAAAAAGTGAATTTAGCTAGATTACAGAATACACAGATCAATGTACAAAAATCAATTTTATTTTTCTATACCAGCAATTAACATTTGGAAAATGAAATTTAAAAACAATTCATTATGAGAGCACCAAAACTTATAATATTTAGTAATAACTTTAATGAAAGATGTGTAAGACTTGTACACTGAAAATTATAAAACATTTCCAAGGAAAATTAAAGAAGACCTAAATAAATAGATATTCCATGTTCATGGCTTCGAAGAATCGGTGTTATTTAGATCATTTTGGGGAGATTTCATTTTTAGAGTCAGTAGAGTTGTAGTCAAAATTCCAGCGGGCTTCTTTGAAGAAATTGACAAGTTGATTCTAAAATTTATTGGCCAAAACAGTTTTTATTAAAGAAGGTTGAAGATGTACACGACCTGCTATCCAAAGTTAACTATAAAGCTACAGTAATCAAGACAATCTGGTCTTGGTGCATGGATAGACTTTTAGATCAATGGAACAGAATAGAGTTCAGAAATAGACCCACACTTGAATGGTAAATTAGTTTTTGACAAAGACACCAGGATAAATCATTGGAGAAAAGATAATCTTTTCAACAAATTGTGCTAGAACGATTGCATATCTATATGGAAAATAATGAGCCTTGATTTGACCTCACTCTGTACACAAAAATCAACTAGCAATGGATCATTGCCCTAAACATAAGCGTTAAAGGTATAAAACTTCCAGAAGAAAACATAGGAAATCTGTGTGACATTGTGTTGGGCAAAGATTTCTTAAACAGGACACAAAAATCACAAAACATAGAAAAAAATGACAGTTGACTTCATCAAAATTAAAAACATTTCCTCTTCAAAAGACAGTATAGAAAATGAAAAGGCAAGCTCAGACTAGGAGAAGATGTTTATGAAACATATTTGACAAAGGGCTTGTATCCTATATACATAGTTGAGTTGTAAACTCAATAATGAGGAAAACAACCCAATAAAAATGGGTAAATCATTTCAGCAGACACTTCACAAAAGAAAGTGTATGAATAAGCCCAATATCACTAGTCATCAGGGAAATGTAAATTAAAACCCCAATAAGTTACTACTTTACACCCTCTAGAATAGGTAAAGTTAAAATTACTAATGATGCCAAGCATTAGTGAAGATGTAGAACAATGAGACTCTCATATATTGCTGGTGGAAGTGTAGTATTGTATAGCTACTTGGAAAAATAGTTTGGCAGTTTCTTAGGAAGTTAAATGTACATTTAACGTGTGACCCAGCAATTCTTTCCTAGGTATTTACCCAAGTGAAATGAAACCATATATCCACATATAGACTTGTATATGAATGTTCACAGTAGCCTTATTCATAATAGCTTCAAACTGGAAATAACCCAGTTGGCCATCTGCTGGTAAATAGATAAATAATTGTATATCCATATTATGGAATACTATTCAGTGGTACAAAAGAATGACCTTTCGATACAACGACAACATGGATGAATTTCAAAAACATCATGCTAAGTGGAATAAGCCAAACACAAAAGTCTACATGCTATATGATTCCATTTGTATGAAATTCTAGAAAGGCAAAACTTCAGTGGTTGCCTGAGGCCCAGAGTCTGGGCAAGGAATTGACTGTAAAGAGACAGGAAGGAACTTTTTGAGATGATGGAAATGTTTTGATTGTGGTGATGCTTACATGACTATATAATTTGTCAAAGTTAATCAACCTGTTAAAATGGGTGAATTTTATTGTTCCTCAGTAAAGCTGTTAGAAAAAAGGAAACCATATTGTTAGGGAATGTTTATTTGCTTTTATTTATATGTACTTTCAAATTTTTCAATAGAGTTAAATGGATTTCTTGAGACTGTGCTACAACTTGTTTAAAATAGGTTGCACCTGGAAAAAAGAAATCTTGCTCTGGGGACAAAGTGGGAGGTTGATGGGGCTGTCATCTTAGTGTGGGAAAGCTTTTCTGATGAAGGGACATTTGAGGAGACGTAGATGAAGTGAGTTCGGTTCAAAATTTTCTTTGCATGTGCTTTGCACATCTACTGAATTTATATCTAGGTTTTTTATAGTTTCTGTTGCTATTACAAATGAGATATTTTTCTTATCTTATTGCATTGGCTACTAATAGTCATTAAATTAATTTTTATTTGCATCTTCATTTGTTTTAGATCTCCCATTTGTTAATTTCTCGAGGATAGTAACTCTAAGGATTTTATGCATTGTTACCCTAAAGCTCTTTATTCTATGCTGTGTTTCCAGCATGTGCTCAGCTAATGTATTTTAATGGTTTTTACTGAGACTAAGAAGATCATTGCTATACTTGTTAATCTTTGTTTTTCCTAGCTCAGACTAGCACCAAAACCTAAGCAGAACCTGAAAAAGACCTAAAGTGGAAAACCAAAGATGCAAGTGCAATTTCATGTAATGTAATTTTAATTTTACTGTCAAATAGAGCAAGTATAGGATGCACATAAGAATGTTGGCTAGCACGTTTAAAGGCACCCCTGGTGTATGAAAGGTGGGAGATGTGAAAGAAGGTATTCTTAAATTTCACTGGCAGATTCAGAGAGAATGTCTGGAAGCAGTTGATTGGTCAGGTATAGATTGGAAATGGATGTCTTGGCAAGATTTACTGTTTGATTTGAATAGAAGGAGTTCTTTTAGATTTCTCGCCTGTCTGCGCTTAGTCCACGTTAGGTAAGTGAGGTACCCGAAACAGACTCCAGGGCTCAGCTCCTCTAAAATAGAAACATTAGTAGCTTATGTTCATGCTTTACCAGTAGATGGCAGCAAAATGCTTTGTTAAAATGTTCTTGCCTTCATTTTTTTAAGTCATATAGTAAATAGGTACTGTATATTTTCCTTTTAGTGAAGACCAAGGCAGATATGATACCCTTGTTTATTTAATAGGGTAAAAGTCATATTACTATTGTGTACTGTCAGTTTATATTAAGTGATTTTATAAATCCATTTGATATAGCTTACCTAAAACATGTTATTTTTTCTAGGTTTTCTTAGCAACTACTTCTTAACTGAATTTTTCGTTCTCCATAGTATTATTATTTTACATGTAATTTTTTACCTCATAAATTTTTTTAAATAATCTAGCTGTCATAATGTTTTAGAACTAAATAACATTTTACTAAACAATACACAAATGTTTAATCATATAGCTTTGGAGATTTTTTTGTTTGCTTGAAAAATACTTGTGAATTTTTCTCTTTTATGAACAAACCAAAAATTAAGGGTGACTTTTATAAGAAGAAAGCATTTTAATCTTAGGCAATCAGGTCTGACTGATTTGTGTTCACATGGAATTGTAGGAAGTGATCTGTATAGTATGGGGGAGCAGTTCTTGCCCCTGTTCTGCCCACTGCCCAGGAAGGCCAGTGGGATGAGAGCTACACAGAACTGACCCTCGACTTTAGAAAGATCTGGGCGGGTGACAGAAGTTTGTGACTTGAGTCGCATAGGAGATAAATCATTGTAGTTTCTTTCTTTTTTTTTTTTCTCTTGCCAGAAATCAGTCACTTTAGGAGAGGGTTTTGGAACTGTTTTAGAAAATAATATTTATACAGTGCTGAGGTTTCTCCTAATTTTTCATGCAAAAAAATTGTGCTGTTTAATTCTTACAAACTCCAAAGTTCTTGTAAAACTAAGAATTCAGAATAGACTTTTATCTTATGAAAACATGATTTATCCAGATCACTTAACATATATCTTACATGCTTTGGAATTTTTACAGACCACAGGAAAACTTTTTTTTTCCTACCAAATACATCCTAAAACAACACAGTCTGCCAGACCACAGTACATCCGTAATTTAGAACAGCAGATGTTGCTACACATGCTTCTCTTTAAGACCAAGAAGAAGCACAAGAGAAAATAAAACAAAAAGTTAAAACAGAGGAGAGACATGAAACAATACAGAGATGAAGGAGTTGAGTAGCCAAAAGCAGTTGGTTAAATTAGAAAGAGGGGGAATGTGGTGATCTGACCTCTGTGTTTTGTATACATCTTTTAAACACTTTGTAAGTCATTCTCATTCTGTTAACCCAGGTTTGATAACTTTCTCCTAAAATTTATTTTCCATTAAAACTATACTTCAATTAAACTGAGGAAAGAAGTACTTGATGTTCATTATAATGTTTAATTATTTCACATTTTGTAGAATTGGCTAAAATGTACTGTGCCATGGTAGAGTTTGTTGTTGTGTCTTAGAGTCTGCTAATGTTTTCATTTTGATTTTAACTCTAGCTGATCCCACGGTTAAAGACTTAATCGGAGGCTTCACTGCTCTTCATTACGCGGCCATGCATGGTCGGGCCCGGATCGCACGCTTGATGTTAGAATCTGAATACAGGAGTGACATTATTAACGCGAAAAGCAATGATGGCTGGACTCCCCTCCATGTGGCTGCTCACTACGGTAGGGACTCATTTGTCCGACTCCTACTGGAGTTCAAGGCTGAGGTCGACCCACTGAGTGATAAAGGTACGACGCCACTTCAGCTTGCCATTATCCGAGAGAGATCAAGCTGTGTGAAAATCCTCCTGGACCACAATGCCAACATCGACATTCAGAATGGTTTCCTATTGCGATACGCCGTGATCAAAAGCAATCACTCTTATTGCCGAATGTTCCTTCAGAGAGGAGCAGACACAAACTTGGGTCGCTTAGAAGATGGACAGACTCCTTTACATTTGTCTGCCCTTAGGGATGATGTGCTTTGCGCACGGATGTTATATAATTATGGAGCGGACACGAACACAAGGAACTATGAAGGGCAGACCCCATTGGCTGTTTCAATAAGTATTTCTGGAAGTAGTCGACCGTGTTTGGATTTCTTACAAGAAGTCACAAGTATGTAATTTATTATTACTATTATTGCACTTTAAAAAAAGTTTGCATCTTCTGAGGAGCTTAAGGTGTTTTTACAACTTAAAATGACCAGGTGTTAATGATTCCCATTAGCCCTATTGGTAAGTAATACCTCATTCATCTGAAATAAGAAGAAAACTCTATTTCACAAGACTTCGTAAAAATTCAGTTGTGTTACTGAAAGTAATAGGGGTGGATAGGCAGGGTGAGAGAAGAAATGGAGGAAACGACAGAGAGAAGAGAATTTTTAAAATTAACGAAGATCTATCTTAGGACAAGGCGGTGGTTACTGGTCATAAACATAGTCTTTCTGGACTTTCATGGACTTCAGATTGAGGGATTAGAAGGAGAATTTTGGGTTTTAGATTACATAGCTATGGAAGTGCCTAGAATTTGTGCTTTATTGCTAGGCTGTTGTTCATGTTTTCTTGTTGCTTTTCTGCTTCATTACCATGTCAACCCACATGAAATAGAACAGCAGTCTTATTTATGTAGGTATCCTAGTAATGCAGGTTAAGGATGCTAGACATTGTAAGAAAAGGTTTGCTATCAGTGGAAAATTTGGTCCCACTGTCCCCGGCCCACATGGCTTCCATTTTATCTGACCTGTTGTTGTGTGGGCACTTTCTTTTTAAAGCCTAGAAGTGTCTGACCCGCCTTGTGCAGTGGTGCCTGTGTTTGCATTGTTTTTCTGATGGGGTTGTTAGTTTGTGTGGATGGAGCCACCCTCTCTTGTCGGGCTTCCTTGTGACCAGTTGAGTACGTCTCTCAGAGCTTAACATCCAACTTGAAGCTCAAGTCTATAAATAAAATGTTTGCTTTTGCTGTCTGCTGCACTTTTTAATGAATTCCCTTTTCCTCACCTGATTTTTACCTTTCAGTCATTATTAGGGAAGAAGAAATACATTCTGGGAACCAGGTACTGGGGGGTAAGGAGTTTACTTGACCTACTGGTAAATAATCTAGTCTCTCCCTTGGAACTGAACTTGGGAGTAGAAATGTTATGAAGAAATGAAGTGTAATTTGAATTTTGTGTATTCATGAGAAAGAAAAGATGAAATTATTACCACTAAGTGTATTTAGGCTAAAGCATAAAAAGAAATCACACTCAGGGTCTCATGCATCTGCCCAGCAGAACTTTCTGTGATGATGGAAGTGGTCTCTCTGTGCATCCAGTATGGTAGCCACTAGCCCCAGGTGGCTGTTGAGCATGTGTTATGTGGCTCTTGCTACTGAGGAACTGAACTTTTAGTTGTATTTAATTGTATTAATTTAAGTTTAAGTGGCCAGAAGTGCATGGTGGCTCCTGTGTTCTACAGCACAGATGTGGCTGCCTTGGGAGAGGTGTTTTGGGCTGTCTGGTAGGTGGTCCCTTGCAGAAAGCTTTTGAGGCACACACACATACCCAAAGATAGAAGATCTATCTTTGGGTGCCTGCTGGTTCCTTACCAGCTGACTCTGACTCTTCAGATCCGGGCTGCATTTTGGGAAAAGATTGTAGTGAAATTTCAAATGCTGGTTCTCTCAGCAAATTTTCTAGCAGTCTTCATTTGTAGACTGTTAGGGGTGTTGGTATTGTGAAAGGTAGGATTACTCTTGAAGTTAGGATTCTCTCATGGTATATATAGCCTATAATGTGTATCTTATTCTTAATAAATTCTGAATATCTTTTTGTTGTTGTTGCTTTAACTTCTACACTAGAGACTCTTGGTTAAGTTAGTGTGGCTGCCTTCAGGAAGGCATATTACAGACATAAATGCCCCAGCCCCTTTTGTTAAATATTTTGCTCAGTGGTTAATGGCATAGACTAGAGCTAGACTGCCCAAGCTCCAGTCCTAACTCTACCACATATTAGCTGTGACCTTGGGCGGGTTACCCACCCACTCTTGGCCTCAGTGTCCTCATCTTAAAATTTGGATAATTATATCTATCTTATAGGTTTGTCATGAGGATTAAATGAGTTAATATTTATAACACACATAGAACAGTGCCTGGCACATTTTAAGTGTTGTATGTGTTCTTTAAAATAAAATATTTAATTAAATGAGGGTGAATGAACAGCAAGGGCTGGTTTGCTACCAACACAGTGAATCCCTGAGGTTCTTATTCTACCCTCGCCTCCTATTTTCAACTCTGTTGACTGTTGTATAGTCTTTATATGGAGACTCACAGCCAGGGGAATGGAGAAGCTGCCTCTTTGTCCCCAGCCCTCAGAGCTGCTGAGTTCCAGAGTACTGCTGGAGAGCAAGAATGTTGAGTTAAAAAAGATGCTCATGTAGTTTTAAAATTAGGAGCAGACAGAAAAATTGACAGAGACTGCCTCTTTGTGTTGGAGTTCTCCACTGTGTGTAGAGCAGAGTCGCACACCTGGTAGGTCCTCAGTAAGTGTGGGCTGGCTGATGGACTGCATCTGTAAAGGATGGTGGCTGAACAAACGTCTATGTTTTTCAGAAGCGAAAGACCATCTGTCTGTCTTTTGAAGGCTGCAGTTATCTTTTGCCTTCAGATGCCTCAACATAGTTTATTACTTCTTGATTCTCTAGTAGTGTTTCCTGCCAAAAGCACATTAAGTGTTTCTGTCTCACCTGTGCATATTTACTAGCTTTTTCTTTTCCTAGTGAATAATTATGTGCTAGAAGGACCAACTGTAGCTGATGCTCTTGGGAGTTCTCTCCTGTGCTCTCTCCTGAAAACCAGAGTGAAAGAAGGTTGGGTAGTTTAGGGAGCAGCATTAAGTCAAATCTGTGAGCTCCTTCTGGCCTTTGACACCACCGAGAGCCAGCGCTCCGGGCACGGAGCCGTTGGCTTCTAATCTGAGAACTCAGACTCCTGAGGGGTAAGGACAGGGGAAGTGCCACTTCGTGGTCTTTATTTAGGGCCATTTTACTGTTCATTGCACCATTTTGACTAGAAGCAGCTTATTTAAATTGGAAGAGCTCAAGACAGTCATAATCCTGGAATCTAGATGCTATTGAAGCTTTTTAAAAATATTGCCATAAAAACTGATGCACACTGTATAAAAACAGAGCAGATCAAATGGCTTACTTATAAGGTAGTATCTATTGGTACCTTGTTGATCGTGAGTAGAGGCAGAAGCCACGAAGAGCTGCTGTTACCGTTTACCCACAGCCAAACTTCCAGAAATTTCTGCCTGCTAGAATTGCTGCAACTCAACATGGTCCCCTCCAGAAAGCCAGTCAAGTGAAGGAGCAGCTTCTTTGTGCCCTGGGACAGTAAATACAGCTAAGAAGAGCCAAAGATCCTACCTGAAGGAGGAGGATCACTTTGCAGAAGGAAAGATATTTTCTGCTTACTTAGAGAAGCCAGTTTTTGTTCTTTTACTTGAAAGAAAAAAAGAGAGTGGGAAAAATAAAAGGGACAACAGAGGGAACAGTGAAGGTGTGACCGATGACGAGTAGAAATGGTAGTGAGGACAGACAGCAGTGGACATTCTGATGGAGGTCTATTGAGGGCAGAGGGCCCTGGGTCAGGAGGTAAACTGCCCCTTGCACCAGGGCCAAGACTTGGGTGAGGCGAGCGAGGTGCCTAGGGCACAAAATTTAAGGAGACACTCATTCTCAGCTTCCTGCAAATGCAGGCAGTTAATTAAAGTAGAAAAACTTGTATGTAGCATATGCACAAACCTTACAGAGCTAAGAGGATCACGGCAGCTCTGGCATATGGGAATGAACTAGAATTCTCTAGCCGAAGGTAAAGAGCAGAAGATTGTAGGAATGTTTGCCCAATTCAAAAGAGAAAGTGAACATTTATGCACAAGAGAAGGGCAAGCCCAAGAACACGTTGTTAAAAGAGGTGCAATATTAAACTTTCGAGAAAGACTATCCTATAAGTAAAGCTTGCCCCGAGGATATTGTTAAATAGTAATACAAGGGTTCCCTTTTGTCCATATTGTCTCTAACACTTGTTATTTCTTGTCTTTTTAATTATAGCCATTCTGATGGGTATAAGGTGAAATCTCATTGTGGTTTTGATTTGTATTTCCCTAATAATTAGTGATGTTGAACATCTTTTCATGTGCCTGTTGGCCATCTGTATATCTTCTTTGGAAAAAAGACTGTTCAGATCCTCTGCCCATTTTTTGATCAGGTTTTTTGGGTGTTTTTGTTGTTGAGTTGTCTGAGTTCTTTATATATGTTGGATATTAACGCCTTATTGGATATATGACTTGCAAATATCTTCTCCCAATTGGTATGTAGTGTTTTCTTTTTGTTGGTTTCCTTTGCTGGGCAGAAGCTTTGTAGTTTGATGTTGTCCTATTTGTTTAGTTTTGCTTTTGTTTCCCTTGCCTGAGGAGACATATTCAAAAGGATACTGTTAAGACCAATGTCAGCATACTGCCTATGTTTTCTTCTAGGAGTTTTGTGGTTTCAGGTGTTACATTCAAGTCTTTAATCCGTTTTGAGTTAATTTTTGTGTTTGGTGTAAGATAGTGCTCTACTTTGATTCTTTTGTGTGTGGCTGTCCAGTGTTCCTAGCACCATTTATTGAAGAGACTTTCCTTTCTCCATTGTATGTTCTTGGCTCTTTTGTCAAAAATTAGCTGTCCATAAATGTGTGGGTTTATTTCTGAGCCCTGTGTTCTGTTCCATTGATCTGTGTGTCTGTTTTTGTACCAGTACCATGCTGTTTTGATTACTATAGCTTTGTAGTATATTTTGAAGTCAGGGAGTGTGATACCTCCAGCTTTGTTCTTTTTTCTCAGGATTGTTTTGGCTATTTGGAGTCTTTTGTTATTCCATATAAATTTTAGGATTCTTTGTTCTATTTCCATGAAAAATGTTGTTGGGATTTTAATAGGGAGTGTATTGAATCTATAGATTGCTTTAGGTAATATGGACATTTTAACTATGTTAATTCTTCCAATTCATGAGCACGGAATATCTTTCTATTTCTTTGTGTCATCTTAGGTTTCTTTCAACAGTGTCTTATAGTTTTCAGTGTACAGGTCTTTCACCTCCTTG